GGTTTCCCCCAGTGTATTATAAGCATGGCGGCCCGCCATGCTTTGCTAGCCCCGCCAGGCTAACCGTCGCTTGCTTACGTTTCCAGGAAAATAAAAAAATATATATTTTTTTAAAGCCGGGCTGCAAGCGTCTCTTTTGCTCTTAGCATTTCACTAGCAAAGCAGATGTATTCCTAAAGGATAGGTTTATAATAGATAGGTTTATAGTTTATGCATTTACACCCGACAGCGCGTGGACTAATCACACCGCTGGCGCCTCTGCGCTTTGCCTCGCGCGCTGCATCTGCTTTACCTCAGCGCGGACCGCACGCGCCTCCTTTCACTCAAACTGGACACAGGCTGACCTGTATGGCTATTTACATAAACCTACTGTGAGGAATTATGATCCTTTGGAGAACTCTAGGTAAGAGTTTAAAACCCACCGTTAGCTCTGGTTGCGCAGCTCAATGTGAACCGCAGGAATAACTTGTAGCGAATTCAGAGGCGTGGCGCGTTGTGGAGCGGTGAGAATGATTTATCTTTATGAACGAATAATTATATGCGGCGTTTACATCTCAACACGCTGCCCAGCGTGTGGCTCTGTGTCTGTCTTCCCTGTAAAGTTTATGTCTGTGGTCCCGGTTGGCCAGGGCGTTTGTGGATAAGCAGCGCTAACCTCATCATGCAGGTTCAGCCCGGTGAGGAGCTTTCGCGCTCTCCTCGGAGTCACGCATCACGCTGATTTATATTATTTTATTATTATTTTTAGTATTATTTTTCCGGTTACACGATGCATCAAACCATATCAAATGCGTTGTCTACTTAGAGTTAATGCGCACGGCCGTATGGAGATCTGAGAAACTCGTCCCATAAACTCGACCAACCAAAACAGTTTCTGTGACGCTTATTAAAAACTCAACAGACACGAAATGGAAGAGTTACTAAAGCCACATGAGCAGCATTGAATTAAATCTCCCGTTTGTTGCGCATCTCTGCGTAGTGCAAGGAATTACCTCATCATGCAGGGCCGGTCCAAGGCTGCATTAGGCCTGGCGCAGAATCTGACTTAGGGGCCCCTTTTGTTGCTAAAAATATCAGCACCTCTAACAGCTTCTGTTAGATTTAGTGAAATATGGGAAAAGGGAGTAGTTTAATTGGCCAGCCTAAAAAGCAATAAGTTATAATCGCAGTTTACTAATTTGTATTTGTAAATTCAAAGATTAAACTCACAGCATCAGATTGTTGCTATGGTAACAAAACAATCTAACTATAAATAATCTTCTTTGAAGTTTTACAAAGTAAACTTGCCAGCTCCTTAAAATCTTGTATTTAAATGTTAAACAATTTAAAATCATTTAATTTATGTATGCCTAAACAATTGAATAAAATGTAACATCATTGATAATCTCAATAAACATGTATTACATTTGTATCTGTGGTCTGTTTTAATATATTAGCATTTATGGGGCCCCTGAAGACCTAGGGGGCCTGATGTAGTCGCTGACTTAATTTAATTAAACAGAAGTGCAAATTTGTTGTTTTTAGACCAGTTGTGGGTTTAAATAGCATTTCACTGGAGATGTTTTCCCGTAACATATAATTACACAGTAATACTTTTACATTTCCTGTCAACTTAACATCTTTTAATACAAAAACACGGTTGACCACCGGTCATTTAAATAAAAATAATCTAACTATAATCACTAAAGAAAGCTCGACATGGACTCAGACAGAATAATAACAGAACCTACGGTAACTAAAGAATAAACCTAACTAGAAACACTATGAAGAACTGAAAATAAGGAAGGCAATAACTAAGACAATTCTAACCACTCTAATTCTAACTCAAATAATAAAACTAAAATGACCATGAAGGGTTAACCTAAAGTGAACTACAACATAATGATAATTAAGATGAAAAAGCAAAATCAAACCCAAAAAAACTACTGAAAATAACTACTGATTGTGTGTATGTGTGTAACTATTGAAATAACTCCAAAATCCAAAAATGCTGTTTCAAGTCACTATAGTGAAAATTTTGCATTGTAATATACAATGAACACTTTGAAAACAGCTTTGCAAATGCACACATTACAATGTAAATTAATATTCGTCATGTAGAATTACAACCTTAACCTGTGATATATGGCAGTTTTTGGAATGAAAACATGATTTGAACTAAATGTACTCAAAGGGCTTTCTGTGCATGTGTAACGTAGTTCATTCTGCATTGTGTCTTGTGGGAAATAACAGCCAAAAGAGAGCTGATTTGAAGGCGTTTTAATGCTCCTGCATTCAAATAGCAAAAGATAGTAGTCAAAAACAGTCCTTTTCTCATCAAAGTGTTATACAGCACCTGTTTAACCATGAACAACACTGTTTTCAGCGCATGGATGTAGCAACTTCTTTAGCAATGTTTCATGTAGCATGAGAACAGCTAAATATCAGCTAAAACAGTTCCATCACCTTCTAATAAAGCTTAACTGCTCCAAAACACATTATTTTACAACAGTAATTGAACCATCACTCATTATCCTTAAATCACAGGGAAAAAAAACTTCACATCTTCAACAGAATCCAAACAGAAAGAGGGAATAGCGAGGGAAAACCCTTCGTATACTACAAGGGTGTAATTCGTTAAACTTCCCAGATAGCACAGAATGATTGAAACAACATTGAATTCACTAGTATTAAACACTATTTTATTGGCAGATGATGGGTAAACTGTGTACAAAAGGTTAAAAATGACAACATGAGTTTGATATAACATTTTATTTAACCCTTGTGTCCAGAAGTGGACACAAGAGTTAAATACAAGTTACATAAAAGTTTTACGACCCCACACACGTAAAACTTGTATCATTTTCCACAGTCCTCTACATTTGCCTCAGTCCTCACACGCACAAGAGTTAAGAAAAGAGGGATAGATCTTTAAACATATGACTCCTTTTTGACTGTCAGAACAACAGTCTGTTGTCCATGGAAAAACAGCATCCATGAGGTTAAGCTTTGTACTGTATGAATTAGGGAAACAGTACAAGTTGCGGTAACCCCAGTTTGACTCTGGTTGGCATCACTTTGATTCCTTGCAATGTCTTCCTCTCGTTCTGGCGTGTAATGAAGCCACTTCTTGACAGTTTTGCTGCAGACCTCTAGAGTCAGCTTTCAGTCAAACTGCAGAGCAACGGCTGAAAAACACAAAAATAAAAGTGAGAAAGGTGCTGGTTAGAAAGATGATAAACATTTGAAAAGTTCTGAAAGACATTGAAAGATTAAACAGTGTACTGGTTCTGAGAACAAATACAAACCATATAGTTCCCCATGTACACTCACTGTTAAATTAATATTCATCTTTATCTTTCATTAATATTTATCTTAATGTTTATATATACAATTACATTTACCTATCAAGCTGCAGTATAGTGTAGCATTTATGATGCTGCACTCATGTTAAAATAAGGGAATCAATATTTAAAATAAAGACTGTATCAGAAAACCTAAAGATAAAACTCAGGGAGGATCAGGGTTTATTTAACACACCAGAGACAAATAAATAGAGCAGAAGGTGATTTATACTGTAGTTGGAAAAATTATTTATAATTTATACAGAAGAGGCTTCCATCAAATAACTGGTTCAATCTTCCATTAACTACAAATATTTTCAAATAAGTTGATTAAATTCATTCAAAAATGTCCATATGCTGATAAAGATCCCACACAAGTAATAATAGTCCAGTTCAGTTTAACCAGTTACCAATCCAAGAATCAACAGACTGAATCAGTCATTAGCAGGTTTAGTTCAGTGTTTCACCTGCCTTACATGTTTTAAGTGTTTCCTTTCTGCCACACCTGGATTGAATCTGTGGATGATAAACAACCTTCTGCACTTCTTGATGGCTGCAGAAGGTCATGCAATCATCTAACTCAGCTGTTCTGGAACAGAGGTTGTTAAGGAAGATATACTCAGAATTAGTTAATTTTGGAAAAAGTCTGGCTCTCTCTTCCTTTTTGATCCCAGGTCCTCCCGGCGGGCCGCGTGTAGCCACTCAGAAAAACAGCAATGCGTGTTGACGTCACAGAATTGCAGTGTTTAATCCAATAAAAGACAACACATAAAATTACAACAGAACTGCAGGACAACAGAGACATACATTCATTTACCTGACAGACAGAAGAAGAAGGAAATAAAAAAGAAAAGCAAAGATGTCTTTGGAGAATTGCAAGAGCAAATCTAATCTTTTACTTCTGTGCAGAAAGTTTTATACTCGAGGCGTATTCTTGTCTTTAATTTATTCAAATTAGGCGTATCTTTGCTCATCAAACCAGGAGCTATCTCTGACCGTTTCTCTAAAGCCAATAACTCCTGCTGTGTTTACGACTCTCCACAGGTGGGTGTGAAAGTTGGAACTTCTACATGTTTTTTTTCCCACACAGACAAAAGGCAATTCAAACGATCGCAACATACCATCTGCTTTAACTACAGGTAAAATAAAGGTCAATAGGCCAGAATACATTACTGATTTTAAAACTATAATTAGGCTATTTCAATCAAGACATGTTAAGTTTTAAATCTAGCTTATTTTAAATGTATTTTCTTAACAAGGTACATTTAAGCATGTCCCTAAGCACATCATAATAAAAAGTTAAAAACAAGTGATTACTATCACAACAATTTAAAGCCCACCTGGACCAGCCAGCCTTACACTTCCTTGTCCACCACATGCTCTCCCAGACCAAACAATAGGCCCCACCCTATTTTAAAAACTCAAATCCCACAAAATCTCACAGGATTTCATATTTAGACCTAGAGTGGTGGGCAGTATGAAAATAATACAAAAGGAGACATGACCTCAATTATTAAAAATATCCGTTTTGCCCCAAAATAACCAGGATTACTATGGGCACAAAACAATGCCCTTATTTTTCAGTAAACAGATTTAAGATCAAAGTAATATTGAAAAACTTACCATAAAAGTGCTCAGCGGAGAATTCAATTCAGAAGCCGGTTGCAAACAAGCCAGCAGCAAAGTGGCTGTTTGGTTGGGACAAACCACTACTTGTACACACTACACTCCTTGTAGAGACTTATAGATGTTTTTGTGTCAACACATTATGCACAGTCAGTAATAATATTTACAGACAAGTAAGAAAATGTACAGAAAGGAATCACAACCCACTGTTCTCAACATGTAGTGCTTAATTTGAAACATGATTAACCCCCACCTAGTAATAAAATGTTCTGACCCAGAGCTCAAGGAGGGGGAGGGAAGAAGGAATGAGAGGGGGTAAAGAGGGGAAAGTTGGGAGGAGCGGGTGGGTGGGGGGAGGCTTGGGAGACAGTAAGGGGAGATGAGGAGGTGAGGAGGGGTGCAACAAACTGCCCAGATTGCACACGATGGTAATTCAACGTTTAAATATACTCAGAATGGTTGATTTTTGGTTGAGGTCAACAACTGACAGTGGATCAACCATAAAACAACCATCCAATTCTAGCCAAGTAACCAATGTTGGAACTGTGTCATTGAATCAATGTTGTTTTGTGGTTGAAAAATAATGAATGAAATGCCAATGTCTGATCAACGTCCGATCAATGTTGAATCAATGTACAGTGATCCCTCGCTATAACGTGGTTCACCTTTCGCGGTCTCGGTGCTTCACGGAATTTTTTGTTGTGCAGTTTTTTTTCCACAGTGCATTGTGTTCTGCGTCCTGATTGGCTAAACAGTCTCTGCGGTTCTTCTCTACCTGTAATGTTACGGTATTTAAATATAAGTAATACAGCTTGGCCATTCAGGAGATGAAAACTGAAACTTTGAATGCCTGCTGGAAAAAACTGGCCATAATCAGCGCAAAACCTGACCGAAGGCTCGCTTGACGAGATCCATCGCTTTGCCGTAGATACAGCTGTGAATCTCGCAGGGCAGGTTGGAGGAGACGCTTTAATGACATAACTCTGGATCACATTAAGGCCCAATTGACGAACACACACATCCGCTGACCTGAAAACAGGTTTTGTTCTTTGGTTTCAATGTAGAGTATTTAATTATGCTGTGTAATAATTGGAAAACATAAAGGTAACTATTTCGCGGATTTTGCTTATCGCGGGTTATTTTTGGAACGCAACACCCGCGAAAAACGAGGGATCACTGTTTGCTGTTTTGCCACACCCATTCCCCTCCTCTCTTCCTCAACAGAACTCTGGGTGAGACCATTTTATTAGTGAGTGGGAGTTTTAACGTTTTAAATTAAGCACTGTAGAGCAATGTTTCCCAACCCCGGTCCTCAAGGCACACTGCCCTGCATGTTTTAGAGGTTTCCCTGCTTCAACACGCCCAATTTAAAATGATTCCAGTTCAGAAAAAGCTTGTTAATCAGCCATCAATTGAAATCCTGTGTGTTTGATTGAGGGGTAGATGGGCCAGGTTGGGGGAAAGGTGTGTGTGTCTTTGGCAGGTGGAGGGAGAGGGGTTGGGCGTTTGAATGGCGGGTGGTGGTGGAGAGGTGCAAAAAACAACTTACACTGATTGAACATATATTACTAGTTCTTCCCCAAACCTTGTTCATTCATTAGATTTCAACCACAAAACAACATTGATTCAATGACAGTTTCAATGGTTAGAATTGGATGGTTATTTGATGTTTGATCCACCGTCAGTTTTTGACTTCAACCAAAAATCAGCCATTCTGACTATAATTCAACGTTGATTTAGCATCCTGTGCAATCTGGGTAGTGTAATAACATCACACTGCTACAAATGGATCACGTTACCAACACTTACATGATGAGATAAGGCTTTAAGACCTTTTCTTGCCTCCCAACAGTGTCGTAGTAGTCAATGCCAACACCTTATCTTGGAATGACTCAAGAACAAAAAAGATTAAGACTCCGAGGGAAGCGAGACTATGAGCAAACCACTGAGACCATTTTCATGAGTACATTCATAATAGTTTTTGTCTGTAAATGTTTTAATAAAATCTGCCAGTGGCAGTTCAATAGCAAATTCTTTGTGTTTTCAAAAAGCAAATGTAATTATTTTATGCAGTCAGAAGCATTTGCTCAGTAAAAACTTGATTGCACCATATGTGTACAGATATTTTCTCTTTTAAATCAAATGACATAATGCTGTTTGTTGTTGTAAACATTCACATGCAAGCCCAAGACCAGGCAAAAATAGTTTCCAGGCTTCAGAGCTTCCACCTCACAGAGCAGCCCTCCCCAGTGTCTCCCTGACTCAGCTCCTCTAGACTAACCAGCAGCAATTAGCAAACAGCTGGTGGTCGGTCTCAGATGTGTGCATAATACTTCATTCCTCTTGACGTTATAAAGTTCTAAGATTATTTCTGACCATAAATATGACTGTAGTAATATAATTTGGAATAAGAGGTTTTAAACAAAAGCATGAATTTTGTCTATTGGATGCACAGGACGAAAAGTGGGATTT